ACTGAGATCGCGGAATGACTGTGCCACCTTCCAATCTTTCTCGAAGTAGTTAAGCCTAATTTCGCGAAGTTGCGGATGGTTTTTCGAGTATATTCTTGTGGAGGAAATCAAGTAGACCATTTCTAGAAAAAACCGGAACTCAATATTCAAATTCTATCGGGAGAAAAAAGCTGCGAAAAAATCCGCAATAATTATTTATCAACCTAATATATGTATGAATATAGCCTGACTGCCTTCCTTAACCCATTGGCGACCGCGCTTTTATATAGTCCTTACATTAACCTTTGTTTTCTCTTATATCTGTGGTTAGAATGAATGTTTGAATGATTCCAAGACCGCAGTGCTTCAGGATTCTCTAGACGGCTGTGAACTCAGCTGATACACGAAAACATGAAAAAATTATAGGAACACCTGATAAATAATATAAATTCCCCAGCGAGCCAAAAACGTGCGTCCTGGCATCTTGACGCATGGTCACCAACGTGTTAACATGTATCACAATATCAGCTAGACATCAGCAATTGTGAACATGATCCATCCGAGGGAACAACTCGCGACATCAACAGGAAAGGGGGCGAGTGCATACTACCGTTATGGTTAGCGGGACTGGAAGAATTTTGGTCAAAATTTGCCAAGAATTGACGGTTAACTCATTTCAATTGCAAACTTGGTCAAAAAAAGAAAAAAAAACAAAAATACTTGCAACACTGAAAAGACCCGTGCAACACCTCGACATTACGGAACTGAAACTGGAAATCACCTTAGATGCTTTGCCAATATGCCGTGTTTCCGGAAACCGATGTTGCAGTCGGAGCAAACGAACGATCGCGGATTCGAAACAAATGCCGTTGACCCTCCAAGAACAGAATGGGTTGTGGCGCAAGGATCGACGATTGCGGTTACACTTTCATCTATCTGTGAAGAGTAGAAAGATTACCATTGAAAGTCGATGAGAAGTTCTGCAATTGAATCGGTATTCATTCAACAGAACACCAGTTAAAATGTAAACTCTATTACGTGTAACAAAAATACTTTAACTATATATCACCTGTCACATGTCACCTGTCATCCCGTTGATCATCACCTTCCTCGAACCGGCGCTAGTAACCACTCCGTTCGTCCCTGTCACAAGCCAGAGCGGTCGGGTGAATCGTCCTCGCTTCAGGGACACCAGGCTCAGCATTCCTCTCGTTCAGAGCTTTCGTGAAGAAGTCTGACCATCGCCTGGTGTTCGCTTGACGTCCCGAGGGATCCAGTCAGCCATCGCCCTGGTCCCACGGTCATCATTTTGTCACATAACGTGTCCGGCCCACCTGATCTTCGATTTCTTGGTGTAGTCAACGGCATCCCTGCTCTTCGTTTGATACGGAGCTCGAAACTTTGGTTTCCCTTCAGCACTGGCGTGTGTACAAAAAATCCGAACATCACCCATCCCACAGCGCGTTGAGTGACGCTGGCAGCATTCTGATCCTGCTTTCGTAGGGTCCAAATCTCCGAGGCGTACGTCAAAGCAGGAAGGACAGCAGTGTCGAAAAGGTGAGGGCGATGCCGGATGTTGTTTGTCATATTCACTACCCCCTCAGTACTAGTAAATGCTCCCCGCGCGGCGCGTTTCCTTCTGCTCAGCACCGGAGCTAGATCGTTCATGTTAATTTCCTGACCTAGATACACATGGCTAGAACAATTCAGAGTATTCGTTCCATTTACCGTGAAGGGAGCATCAGGTATCAATCCTCATAAACATCGTCTTCGTTAAGTTCAATCTCGAGCCGATCTTTCCATAAGCACTGTCAATTTCGGCCAGCATTCGTGCATGATGTCGTCTGCAAAGCGGAGGCGATGTAAATAGCGGCAGTCGACCGTCACTCTCAAATCTTTCCATTCCAAATGACGCATGATATTCTCGAGAGCGGCACTGAAAAGTTTGGGCGAGTTGCTATCGCCTTGTCAAACCTCATTCTTCATGTTGAAGATGACTTCTCCATAGAATCTCAAGATCTTGTTCGTGAAATTATTGTAGAGCTCTTGAGGCACCCCTATATACTGAGTAGGAACACACTGGTTGCCCAGGGCTTCGATTACCGCTTCTGTCTCGACGATATCAAAGACTTTCTTCAAATCGATGAACGTAAGACATAATGGCATTTTGGACTCTCACGATACCTCAATGAGACTTGTAAGAGTGTGGTATGATCGATTGTACTGAACCCTCTCCGAAACCCTTCCTGCTCTTAAGCTGTCCTCCTATTTAATATCCTGCCAATCCTGTTCAGGATGATGAGTGTGAAAAGATTGTAGACTACAGACAGCAGGCAGACTGGGCGATAGTCCCCAATATCGTCGGGATCTCCCTTCTTGTACAGCAACACACTCTCGGTAGTTGTCCACGACGTAGTCACTTTGCTTTCCGACAGGTACCGCTTGAGGAGCTTAGCCAGACTTCTGACGATCATTGGTGGAGACTCTTCAGATGTTCTGATTTGTTCCTATCGGGACCGGGCGCCGTGCCATTCTTCATCGACGTGATGGCATGTAGTATTTTTCAAAGGAGACCCGAAGGAGCGATATCTTCGCATTGTCTGAGATGGTGGGTAGGCAGGTAGACGTGGCTGTTGAAGAGACCAGAGAGGAAGTCGTAGATGACCTTCTCCCGCCTTTGGAGAGCAGTAACTGTTCCGTTAGAACGGTGAAGGGAAAAGTCGTGGTCTTGTAATTGGCGAGACTCCATCGGGCTTTGCGAATGCTCTTTCTGCTCTCGGCGGCATCGTCCATAACTGCTGCTCTTCTCTCTTTCAGATCCTCCTTTATCGTTTCTCTGCATAGCTTCGCAAGTTCGGACGTTTGTTGATGATTGTATGCAGCTCGCACGATTCCACGCTGGCGTAACAGCTCGAGAGTCTTCGAAGAAAGTCGTCTTTTGGCTACTTGGAGACTCTCTGCTTTCCTAGTACTATCGTGTAGATGTTCGACGAGCCGGTTGTACTCTTCATCGATGTTGTCGATAACGGAATCTTCCCATTTACTCGCAAGGGAAACGAAGCGATCCCAGTTGATTAAGGTCTTTTGACTTCCATCAACTTGGTTCCTATACTTTATAGCTCTCTCTCCACGGATTGAGAAACAGAATCTAGCGCGCAAGCGACGATGGTCCGATCCCATG